AATCCTAAGCCATCTGTTCCTTTCTCTGAGCCTATAGATACTTCTGTCTCAACACTAGATAGCACCCTAAGTTGTGGTTTGTTCCAGGCCCACCGTTGATATGTTTTTACTGATTTATAATTCCCCCCAATCTCAGATTTTTCCAAAATCTGCAGTTGATGGGCAGAGGCCTCAAAGGGAGTAGTCTGTCCTGTACGCCTTTTCCTGGCCTACGGAGGGCTCAGACTCCTTGTTCTGTGTCCACCAACACCACGATGCTAGAACATTTCCAGAGCCCTAAGCCTACCAGCGACCAGTGCAGCTTGCCGGTAGGGCTGGGGCTCAGCCTGCCGTGGGCTCTCTGCTGCTGAGGTGGGCTCACTGCCCGACACCGCACCCGTCAGCCACTGGTGCTGTTGGCTGGAGTGTAGGACTGCTCAGCCAGGACCATGGAACAGCGTCTGTCATGAGGGTCTCTGCAGGCACCGTCCTGGGTGCAGGGACCAATAGGATGTGCTCTGTGCTGAGTTTAATCACCTTAATGCTGAGTCCCCAAACACTCCTCCAGTTCTTTGCTTTTTGCCCGAGGTGGTGGGGATGGGGTAGATGATAGAGGCAGCCCCTCAACTCTTCAGGCAGGCCCTAGGGTAGTTCATCCTTGGGCCTCACAGTCACCAGGCCCACAAGAGGCTGGTACTGATACACACCAGAAAAGTCTGTGTCGCCGAGGTCAAGGTCTCTGCCTGATCCTGGGGCCGGTCCTGGCCTTGGGACTAAACCTGTTAAGACCTGCTCAGTATTGGGTCCCAAGACAGAGTTTCATGGCCCCTTCCTGTCTGCCCTAGGCTGGTCACCCGTGGGTCCCAGTCACAGATCCCTACGAAGTCCTGGGGATGACCACCAAGCCCACCAGAGGCCAGCAGTAACAGCCCAACACGAGTAGACTCCCCAGAGCTCAGGTCTCCAGCCGATGGCAGGCGATTCTAGAGGCTCGGTCTGGGAACACTGGCCCGGTCCAAGGCCGGAGATATCTGGGTCTTATCAGGTCCTGGGTCTTAGCATGGTAGGCCCAGCTCTGAGCTCCCTTTCCTGGCCTCTCTGTGTAACTGGAGTTTTTCTTTCTGCCAATCATTGAGGAAGCAGTGGCGATGGCTACCTGGCTGTGGAGAAATCCAAATATTCATTCCACAGGTTTGGGCCGGGGTGCTGGGGCAGGGTGCTGAGTGCAATTGGAGTTTTTGCAGTGTGCCTGGTAGTGGGATTCAATCCACTGTCTCTCTCTGCCAAGAGGGATGGTTACTCCACGTCCTGCTCCGTGGAGCCAAGGGAGGGCGATGCAGACAACCCTTTACTCCTGCTTCCTGTAATGTGACTCATAACAAGATGAGATGCTGCGGTCTCTGAGCTGGCTTCGCTGTGAAGGGGACCTGCTGTGTCTGTAGCTGTTCACGTTGCTGTCTCTGCAGGAAGGTGGTTATGGAGCGCCTTACTCAGCTGCCATCTTGGTTTCTCATCTCCCTATTTAAACTTAAATGAATTAAAATATTTTTAAAATACAGATCTTCAGTGGAGCTAGGCTCATTTCTTGTGCTTGAGGCTGCCTGACTGGACGAGTATATATAAAACATTTGCTTCCTAATGGAAGTTGAGCTGGCCAGCATTGATCTGGAAAGGAGTCTAGGAGGGAGGACTTCAGGAGTATGACTTGTAGTCAGCTGGCCGTCAGAGGAACTTGGAAGTCTATAGTAGCTTCCATTGTTTAAAGTGGAGAAAGACTGAAAATAACTTCAGAAATTAGAAAAAGAAAATAGAAGAATAAAATAAAGCCAAAAGGAAGAGAAAAGAATTAATAACAATAAATGCCAAAAATAGTGAAAAAGAAAACAAAATGATTCTATATAAGCTATAACTGTTGAAATAAATATATGTATTTATTAGTTACCATATTGAGATGGTATTCCAGATGAATTGTGCAAATTATTATGTTTTTAAAAAAAGTTGTATGTGAGCTGGCATTGTGGCACAGTGGGTTAAGCTGCTGCCTGTAATACCGGCATACCATGTGGGCAGCTGGTTTGAGTCCCAGTTTCTCCATTACCAGTCCAACTCCCTGCTGAGGTACCCAGGAGGGCAGCAGATCATGGCCCAAGTCCTTGGGCCCCTACACTCACATGGGAGACCTAGACGGAGTTCCAGGCTCCTTACTTCAGCCTGGTCCAGCCTCGGCCATTGTGACCATTTGGGAAATGAACCAGCAGATGGAAGATTGTGTGTGTGTGTGTGTGTGTGTGTGTGTGTGTGTATGTCCATCCCTCTCTCTGTAACTCTGCCTCTCAAATAAATAAATAAATCTTTTTAAAAATAGATTGTGGTTTTGTTATTCCAGTGAACATTAGGAAGCTTTTGAATTAATTTTTCCACAGCTAGTCTAATCTTGAAAACCAGCAGTTGGTATAGGTAGTTTAAAAAAAAACCTAGGAATTTAATTGCAAAAATTCTAAATATCTATTCATTAAATTACATGCTAATAGAAGAATAATATTTTCCCAGAATGAGTTCACAGTAGGATACCTACCAGCATGATGTGTTATGCCAATTGTTTAAAGGAGAAAAGCCTTATGATTCTATTAGTAGAGGCTGAAGAGGCATTTGATACAATGATTAAAACTTTTTAGTGTAATAAGAATTATGGTGAAACCACCCCAATTATGGGAATAATAGTAGTATCTGCTGCACGTAATGCAAATGTGAGGATTTAATACCTTACTATACGTAAACATATTTAGAACCATGTCTGGTGCTTAGAAACTATTCAGCGTTAGCTGTTTTTGTTACTTAAATGTGATACAGTTGGTTTTTAGGAAATGGCAGATATCGCATTGAGTGGTGGAACATCTCGATTAAAATTATGGACAAGGCATTGTTGTGTGTTCTTACTGTCACCAAAGCTCGGTCTCTGTCCCTGTTGCCATACCAAAACAACAAGGACAAGGTTTGAGGGTAAGAGAGAGAGAAAGCTTAACCTGTCAGTAGGCTTCCGAATCTGAAGAACTCCTGCCTTGCGTCCTGAGGCCAGTTTGGGGTTTTTATTGAGGCTGCAGGGAGGGAGTCCCGGTTTCCCAGAACATTCAGGAGCAGGAGCAGACCTTTGGGGGAGCTCTGATAAAGGTCCAGAGCAGTCAGCCGTGTCCCACGCTCCGACTGCCTGTAAGAGAAATCCAGAAAAGAATGAAAGCATTCTTGTGGCCCGGGTGAACGGCAAAGCCAGCGAGTCAGCCTCGAAGTGTAGCACCATGTGGGGCTTTCTAACAGTGACCAGGAAGGCATCACGTGGCTAGAATGAGAGTAGCTCACTGGGGGAACGTGCTGCCATGCGTCTGATAATGACAGGAACCACCTCCTGCCGTGTGTACCTGCTTATATTACTGCTCTAACTTAGTATCATCTTTTGAGGTTGCTTGATTTCTTTAAATGCATTGAAATTGTAAAATGAAATAACTACTCTAAATGCTGCAAATGGAGATAAAAGATTTTAATTTGCAAATAATTATGATTGTATACCTAGGAAATCCAGAGACTACCCAAAACCTGTTCCAAGTAGTGAGTGTATTGGTCAGTGTGAATATAAGATAAATTCAAAGAGTCACCAGTTATTCCTTGTTGAAATAAGTAGTTAGAAATGTGAAAGAAAGTGAGAGTTCCTGGGTTCAGTTCTCAGATCCGTTCCAGTTCCCGCTTCCTGCTAACGTGTACCCAGGGAAGCCACAGGAACTCACTTCCCCGGCGCCCATGGAAGACACTCGACTGGGATCTGGGCACCTGGCTTCAGACTGGCCCAGCCTCTGCTGTTGCAGGCAGTTTGGGAGTGAACCAATGGATGAGCCATCTCTTTCAGTCTAGCTCTGTGTCTCAAATAAATAAAAACTGGAAAAAAGAAAAGCAGAAAGAAAAAATCCTGTAAAGATGCAAATAAGTTCTTTAGAAACTTTTTTTCATCATTTATGAGAGAGAGAGCGCGCGCACGCATGCGCACTCCCATCTGCTGGTTAACTCTCTAAATGCCCGCAATGGTTGGTTTTGAAGCTGGGAGTCAGGAACTCCATCCAAGTCTGCCCCGTGGGTGGGTGGCACCCACTGCTTCCCAGGGTCTGCGCTGGTTGGAAGCTGGAAGCCGGAGGGGAGTGGGTATTGGACCGAGGCACTACAACATGTGATGTGAACCTCTTAACTAGCATCTTTAACTGCTGGGCCAAATGTCCTCCCCTCCCAGATAAATGTAAATTCTGTGCCAAGAATATGATTCTATCCTTAAAGCAGAGTTTAAGTGAAGTCAAACCAGATCTCAGTAAAAATTGTCAGTCTTTCTGAAATTAACATGTGAAATTAATTCTTGTTAGCAAAGTAGTGTATCATTTGAAGAAATGAGATGCTTTTAAAGTTTACATGGAAAACATTTTTCTAAGTATGTCCAAGAAAGCATACTGTACATTTAATCCTATTTTTACACTTGATCTTAGCTACCAGGCCAAAAAGCGATACTTAATACTGTTTTTAACAGTCCCTCCTCCTCTTCTCTACTGCAGGCATGCCTTTGTATGGAAAAGAGTAAGGAAAGAAAAGACCTATTTGGATGGATTTTTCCCATGGAATTTTAGTGGAGGGGGGAATTCATGGGGAGCTGCAGAGATGCTTAGACAGTATTTCTTCATATATTTCTGACTGACTTGTTATAAGGATCTTTAATTGATCTAATATTGAAAATTTAATAGAAAAAAGTTTAGTGGTTTTTCATCCAAAAATTGTAGTCCTGTTTTAGTTCAACTAAAGAGCAAAAGCATAATATTGATTGACATAGATTCTTAAAATTCCTCAGATTTTTTTCTTACACATATGAAGAAACCGAGTTCTGGTTTCCTGAACTTTGATGCTTTCTACAAAGGCAAGATTACTTTTTAACTAAAAGATGCTGAAAAGAATTCTCTCTCTTCTCTCTCTCTTTTTTTCCTCTCTGTCTCTCAAAGGTATGCAACCACTCATGTATTCGGTTCAGGAAGCATTAAATGCCAGACCATGGTGGATTCGCATGGGGACTGACATTTGTTACTATAAGTAAGTATGCAAAGAATAATAGGATTTCAACTTACAGAGAGGGGATAGTGCCTTCATTCTATTTCAGTGTAAAGATAAAAATAGAGTTATTGCACTCGTCAAGTTGTGATGTTAGACCTTTGCAATTTTAAGGAGTCCTTTAGAATTTGAGGTCCACTTAGGAAGTATAGAAGGGTACTTCAGAAAGTCTTTTTAATAAAATAAGTTTATTTTGATGCATAAAAATATTGATAACTGTGTGTAGTTTTGTCATAAAACATATTCCTGTGAAGTTTTTGAGGTCCCCTCACATATAATAGAAATGAAACATGTGTGTAGACAGAGCTAGGCCCAAACCTTGTCTCTGCTACTAAATATGTTTAACCTAGCTTTAAACCGAAAATGTCATTGAATAAAACTGAAGTTAGGAATTACAGCTGGTAATTTACAGTGGCTTTTTGTTCCTGTGATATCTATTAAAATTCTTACCTTTTCCCTTCCTGTATTTACAAATGTTTACTTCACCTTGATTTCCAAAATATTTTAATTGGAGATGTGTCCCACAGGTACGTTACGTCAGCTTACACAGTGCAATTTTTACTTCAACCAGGTGATGTGCTCAGCAAGTGAGAAATAAATGCTAGAAATCATTTATTGCTTCTGTGGAAAAACTGAATTATTCTCCAACTCCACTTCTAGATAATTCGGGATTCTCGTCTCTCTTGCTTCCCAGTTTTACCTGTTACTGCATGTGACGTGTCCAGACATGTTCCACTGCTGAATCCACTGAACATCCCCTTTTCTTCTCTCTTGTGGTCTCAGTCCTGGTGTTTCCAGAGTGGATTTTGACTTTTTATGTTGTGCTTAGCTAACACTAGTGTCCTTTATTTTTTAGCATTGTCAGTTAGCAGACTTTAAAAATTGAACTGTTGTTAACAGTTTATGGCATGGCTTTGGAAAAATCTCGTTCTTAAATGCTGTTACTTTTAGGGAAAAATATTCTTTGATATTTATCTCAGTAAAGTCCCCCAACCCCTAGCCTGACTTTTCTTAGCAAAATAAATAGCAAATAAGTGAGGAATAGAGATAGAGTAATTCATCTGTACCTGGGAGTATCTCATACTCCCCTTGGCTCATAGGGAAATACTCTTTGATCTTGTTCTCATTCTGTTAGGTTGGATTGGAGCATTGACAATCCTGGCAGTGCTTGGCTACATTTTGGCAGAGTTATTTAGACCACTAGGGTGAAATGTTTTAAGAATACATTGTTTCTTCGGTGCATCTCTGCTTTTGCACAGTAGTCATCAGTCCATGGATGATTTTCATATTGCAGGTTAACTGGTCATAGCATGGCAGATTGTTCTACGTGAGCGGTGATGGCAAGGCTTTTTCACATGTTTAGTTTGTTTTTTTTTTTCTCTTGGCGGCTTCCAGATCTGGAATTGAAATCAGTTCAATTCAACATTTATTAACCATTTTCTATGTAGACACTGTTCTGGTTGCTTTTTTAAAGCCTGAACTTCATGTAGCATGGAGTGAAACCTATTTTTTTGCAGTGTGTTACCTTTTCATGTTAGTTAAGTCAATGGGATGCTTGTTTGCCTTTATATGAAACAGAATAAACCTACCTCCCACAAATATATGAAATAATGTGAGTTTTACAGATTTATTGGCTGTACACTGCCATAAGCTACAGTATGGTGATGTGCATACCTTTCCAACTAGGTTTTAAACTTTTTAAGGAAGAGTTGACAAAGAGTGGTTCTTGAATTTGTTGTGTGTGTTTCTTAGTCCTTAGCACTTGCCATTGGACATATACTCTTTAAGTTGATGCAGACTATACCAGTTTGAAAATACCTGAATATTTATGTGCACGAATAAATCACCTTCAGGCCCTGATTTTTCTTCAGTTAAGCTTTAAATGATTCAAGATGATTACAAATTTTGGAAGTAATGTTGGTAAAGATAGCCTCTTTAAATCAGCATATGCTAGTGGTCCTTCAAGTCTGGAAAGTACTTGTAGTTTAAAAACCTTTTTATTATGGATGTCTTCAGGCATTCACACAAGCAGAGGGTCAGAGCAGAAGGCCCCAGGTCATCAGTCCCTCTCAGTAATTATTAGCACATGGGGAGCTTTGTTTTAGCTATACTTTCACCCCTGCTACCACACTGAACCTTAAAGTGGTTTCCAGATAGCGGATTTTATCCATAAATACTCAAAAGTATATCTCTGAAAGATGAAGACCTTTTAAGACAATCTGACTACAGTACCACTATCATACCTCAGAAAAGAAAGTGCCTTGGTATGATGAAATGTCCAATCAGTGTTCAAAATCCCCCAGTTGCCTCAAAAATAGAGTTTTATAGTTGGTTTGTTTCAACAACAATTTCACATAGTTTTTTCTGTTTTTTAAATTGTTCATTTGTCAAAGAAACTGGATTATTCATCATGAAAAATTTTTCACATTTGGATTTTGTAAATTGAATTCCAAGAATGTTAACAAATACGTCTTTTTTTAAAGACTTATTTATTTATTTGAAAGTCCGAGTTAAAGGTAGGGAGAGAGAGAGAGAGACAGACAGACAGACAGACGGCGGCGGGGGGAGATATCTTCCATCTGTTGGTTCACTCCCCAGATGGCTAGGGCTGGACCAGACCGAAAAGGAACCAAGGTCTTCCATGTGAGTGTTGGGGCCCAAACAGCTGGGCCATCTTTTCTTTCTTTTCCTAGGATCAGAAGTGGAGTAGCTGGGATACAAACCGGCATCCATACGGGATACTGGTATTGCAGGGGGCTGCCTTGCCTGCCACACCACAATGCCAGCCCCAACAAATTCTTCTGTCTTGATTAAAGTGGTGCTTCTGGAATCTTAATCAATTTCAGTTTTGGTTTTTGGCAAAAATACTTTGGAGGTTGTGCAGTGAATTCCTATTGTATCACATCAAGAAACAAAATTATCTTTGATAATTTGTGTCTTTGTAATTTTAAGATGATTAATGAATTCGGATATTGTGACCTGATGAGTCCAGTATTGAAATGATCTGTTATTATGTACTTTTCTGTAGCCTTTCATCAGCTGATTGTAGCAGCCATTGCTGCCCATTGCTTAGTTTGGGCAGTATGCGTAGTCATCAAAGAATGGACTTCTGAAATCTTACTGATGTGTCATATTAGGTAGTTCCATTTAGGTAGAAATCCAGGCATGATAAGTAATGTCTTTGACTAGTAATGATTAATTGCTTTGTGAGCACCTGATCTGTTTTTTTCAGTTTATATTTAGATTTTTTTTTTTTTTTTTTAGTTTTGAAAGGAATTTATTGCTGTTTAGATTCTCAGGGTCACTGCAAATGCATGGTAATTACTACAACACAGTTCTCATCAATTCCCGTGTTAATGTGACATTAATACAAAGAGAACAGATTCCATGTAGCTCATAGATCAAATCTGTTTTTTTATAGGGTATATAAATTAAACTTTTTACAGGTTAGGGTTTCTTTTTTTCTTGCCCTGGGATTCTATTTATTAAAAGAGGCCAGGAAAATTTGAATTTGTGTGGACTAAATAAACATTTTATGCATTTCTATTACAGAAATCACTTCTCAAGAAGTTCAGTTGCCGCAGGTGGGCAAAAGGGAAAATCTTACTATACAATTACATTTACTGTCAACTTCCCGCATAAAGATGATGTTTGCTACTTCGCTTATCATTATCCATATACGTATTCAACTTTACAGGTGAGAACTCTTGAGTTGTATTGTGGCTATTACTGTGTTGAATGCATGTCTGTCAGACAATTGAAGCAAAATTGCTTTTCATTGAATATCGTAATAAAGTACGATTCAGTGTTGAAGATTTTAGAAAACATTATAGTGTTTATTGAAAACGTTAAAGGGAATAAAATGGAAATGTGGTCCTTATTTTTTTTTTTTAAGATTTTATTTATTTATTTGAGAGAGTTACAGACAGTGAGAGGGAGAGACAAAGAGAAAGGTCTTCCTTCTGCTGGTTCACTCCCTAGATGGCCGCAATGGCCAGAGCTGCGTGGATCCAAAGCCAGGAGCCAGGAGCTACTTCCAGGTCTCCCACACGGGTATAGGGGCCCAAGGACTTGGGCCATCTTCTACTGTTTTCCCAGGCCATAGTAGAGAGCTGGATAGGAAGAAGAGCAGCTGGGACTTGAATTGGCCCCCGAATGGGATGCCGGCATTGCAGGTGGAGGATTAACCTGTGCCACAGCACAGGTTCCCTGGTCCTTACTTTTAATAGAAAGAAATGTTAAAGAAATTTGATATAACTTTTACTTCCCATTTTTTGTGGAAAGCTATAGGTAAGATCCCATGATTTATAAGTTTTAACTAGGTGAGATTTCTACTTGCCATCAGAAGGGTTAGAGAAGTAAAGATGCAGTGTGGATTTTTCTGTAGGAAATGTTTTCATTACAAGTACTAGATCCAGATTTTCTTAAAATATTGAGTTATAGGAGTTGTTTTGTCAGACTTTTTGGGACTTTTGGATATTTTTATTATAAAAAAGAATCAAACTAAGGCAAGTATATTTGTTAAATGAGCAAATAAGGTAGATTCATTCTGCGAGCAGAGTATCTATCCAGATCGCTGAGGATCATGATAATACGGTCATTTTACTAGGAAAGAATTTGAGCTCTGTGATTAGAAGCAGGCTTGGAGGGGGAGGGGGATGAAAGAAACATAATCTATATAGCAGAAAATAAAGAATGAAGGCTGGGAATACTAAATGTGTCTCAGTAAAGGCTGCAGCCTACACTCTCGTCATGTTCGGGTATGTGTCTGTGTATAGTACCATAGCATTAGAATACATGGCACTTGATGACTTAGTTCTGTGGCCCAACTAACTAAAAAAAAGAAAAGACCCAAATCAATAAAATCAGAGATGAAAAAAGGAATGTAAAAACAGACACCACAGAATTAGAAGCATCAGAAATTACTACAAAGAGTTGTATGCCAGCAAAGAGGGAAATCTATCAGAAATGGATAGATTCCTGGACACATACAACCTACCTAAATTGAACCATGAAGACATAGAAAACCTAAGCAGACCCATAACTGAGACAGAAATTTAATCAGTAATAAAGGTCCTCCCAAAAAGAAAAGCCCAGGACCAGATGGATTCACTGCTGAATTCTACCAGACATTTAAAGAAGAATTAACTCCAATTCTTCTCAAACTATTCAGAACAATTGAAAAAGAGGGAATCCTCCCAAATTCTTTTTATGAAGCCAGCATCACCTTAATTTCTAAACCAGAAAAAGATGCAGCATTGAAAGAGAATTACAGACCAATATCCCTGATGAACATCAATGCAAAAATCCTCAATAAAATTCTTGCCACTAGAATGCAACAACACATCAGAAAGATCATCCACCCAGACCAAGTGGGATTTATCCCTGGTATGCAGGGATGGTTCAACATACTGGTGTTATCTTTATCATGTATTCTGAGTCCTTCTGCCTTCTTGCAGCCACACTGCCCTGACCTTGGCCAGACATTACCATGTTTCTCTCCTGGAACCCTACCAACCCTGCCTGGTGTTGTCAGATTCATTTTCACCCCTTTCTTTTTCATCTGTATTTTCCTCACACTGCTGCCAGATGGGCTCTTTTATGGAAAATCTTATCATAAATCCTCTGCTTAAAACTCTTAGTGATTGGTCTTGCCCTCTGTATGACATCTGTAATGCTTACCATGGTTCTTTCTGTCCTTTCTCTCCTATTTTTCACATTTTTTGGACATATCCACCTACTGTTTGCACTATTATTCATTTAATGTTTATCTTCAAGCATACTTCAGAATAGGTCATTTCCTAAAATTAGTCCTGATCCTAAGTTAATATACATGGAATAATAAAAAGCTTAATGTGCTTGACTTTTTTTTTTCTAATTTATACCTACAAAGGCATTTCAGAAAATTGATGGAAGGGGCTGGTGCTGTGACGTAGCAGGTAAAGCTGCTGCCTATGATGCTGGCATCCATAGGGGCACTGGTTCAGGTCCTGGCTGTTCCACTTCCCATCCAGCTCTCTGCTAACATGCCTAGGAGAGCAGCTGAGGATGGCCCAAGTGCTAGGGCCCCTGCACCCGTGTAGGAGACCTGGAAGAAGCTCCTGGCCCCTGGCTTCGAATTGGCCCAGCCCTGGCTATTGCAACCATTTGGAGAGTGAACCAGCAGATGGAGTCTCTCTCTCTCTCTCTCTGTAACTATGCCTTTCAGATAAATAAAAATAAATCTTAAAAGATGTTGACTTTAAAAAAAAAAACTTAAAAAATAGATTTAAAAGGTAAGTTTTATTTTGGTGTGAACAATTTTGAAATCCCTGTGTATGAAGTTCATAGGAAATGCATGTTATGAAAACGTATGCAGGGATTTAAAAATTGTTTTGCACCAAAATAAATTTATCTCATAGTCCCACTTTCCTTGAATTTTTTGAAGCTCTGTCTTTTTGTGAAGACTATTCACGTATCAGTTATGATAATTCCAGAAGTACATTGACCATGCTTCAGGAAAGACAAGTCTACCAGACTCTTCATTCTGTAGTGGGTTCTCTCTCTCTCTCTCTCTCTCTTACTTTCTTTCTTTTTTTTTTTTTAAGATTTTATTTATTTATTTATTTGAGAGTTAGAGTTACAGAGAGAGGGAGAGACAGAGAGAAAGATCTTCTATCCTCTAGTTCACTGCCCAAGTGGCCACAATGGGTGGAGCTGGGCTATCCAAAGCCAAGAGCCAGGAGCTTCCTCCAGTCTCTCAAGCGGGTGCAGGGCCCCAAGGACTTGGGCCGTCTTCTACTGCTTTCCCAGGCCACAGCAGAGAGCTGGATCGGAAGAGGAGTAGCCGGGTCTCAAACCAGCACCGGTACTGCAGGTGAAGGCTTAGCCCGCTACACCACAGCGCTGGCCCTGGGTTCTCTGGTTCTTACCCTTGTTCTTTCTGCCCCAGCTATAATGAAGATTTCTGAGGTATTTGCAATGCCTTTGTTTTGTCTTGCCTTGTGGTCTCGCTCCATGCTCTGTCCTCTGTGCTCATCCTTCAGATCTCAGCTTGTGTGTAACTCTCTGGAAGAGCTGTCCTCACTGCCCAGACCCAGCGAGGCTCCCCCAGCTCACACAGCACGCTGCATTTTCCCCAGGGCACAGGATCCTTTTGTTCATTGGTGCATCTCCAGTGCCCTGCAGTCCCTGGCAGTTGGTGACCACTGAGTCACTAGTGATTGTATGAATGACCCTAGGTACAAGCTTGAAAACTAGCTAAGTACCTAAAAATAAGGACTTGGGCAATTTTGGTATAGCTATATAATAAAACCATCGAAATTTGTGCACTCAGAAACACTTACTGTGTTTATTGATATTGTATGACTGTATGTGTATAGTTATGCATGCATAAATTAATAAGTGAAAACAGATTATAAGGTCATATATAATCACACTTTTATTTACATACATGGCATTTGTTAGTAGTAATCTAGGTGATGCAGTTGGTAGACATTTAAAATCTTTTTTTTTTTTTTTTTTTTGTATTTGACAGATAGAGTTAGACAGTGAGAGAGAGAGAGAGACAGAGAGAAAGGTCTTCCTTTTTCCGTTGGTTCACCCCCCAAATGGCCGCCACGGCCAGAATTACGCTGATCCGAAGCCAGGAGCCAGGAGCTTCTTCCTGGTCTCCCATGCGGGTGCAGGGGCCCAAGTACTTGGGCCATCCTCCACTGCCCTCCCGGGCTACAGCAGAGAGCCGGACTGGAAGAGGAGCAACCGGGACTAGAACCTGGCACCCATGTGAGATGCTGGCGCTGCAGGCAGAGGATTAACCAAGTGAGCCACGGCGCTGGCCCCTCTTTATACTCTTTCACATGTTTTACAGTGAACTTGTATTAACTTTGAAATTGGAAAAATAAGTGGTTAAAAATTTGTGCTACATATCTTTCATCCTTCCTTAGATTGCTGGAACAGCTCTATAGTCACTTTACTCAAAATTCAAAAAATTCTGAAAATCAAGAGCTTTTTTGTAACACACTTGATAGCAAATCCTGACCCACACTGCTGTCAGCTTATTTAGAGTATTCGTTACGCTTGGTCTGACTCATCAATATGTTTTAGTGCAGAAAGATTACTGTGTTTATTGCAGGCTGCTGCCCCGACCCAGCTGGTGGTGTTGCATAATTGATGGAGTATACATGGTGTCACCTTTCTCACGTCTCCCAGATGAGGGTGTTTGAACTATGTCTGATCGAGAGGGTTTTGGATAAGGGATTAAGAACCTGATTCACATCTAGTTATTCGGAAATCTGGAAGCATGATCTCTATGTATCAAAGGGAGTTTTAAATAATTGTATACTTTCTTTTATGTTTTATCAAGATGCATCTTCAGAAATTGGAAGCAGCACACAATCCTCAGCAAATCTATTTCCGAAAAGATGTGCTATGTGAAACCCTGTCTGGAAACAGCTGTCCACTGGTGACTATCACGGCCATGCCAGAGTCCAACTATTACGAACATATCTGTCAATTCAGTAAGTCTGTCATCAGTAAAAGTATGTCTTTCTCACTTAGTTTTCTCTGTCCTACGTGTATCGTATAGTGGGAACCACCCAAGAACAAGAATCAAAAAGCATGGGTTCCGGCTTTGATCCTGTAACTGCCGATCCACGGGCCTACCTCCCAGGCCTGGCATCCCTCACCTTGAAGGGGAGGGAGCCGTGTGAGATGTTCTAAGTCCCTTATGATAACGTTGATCTTTTGTTCTTATTTTTGGAAGTCCTACTTGAAGCAGAGTACAAGAAAATATTTTGAGACTTCACATAACAGTATCATTGATTTAAAAACCAGCAGCTGGTTTTATTTGTCAATAAAATAACCAGAAATGTATCGAGTATTTTAAAAGCTAACACTGAATAGTTACTTGTTTTTTCCTGCCATTTATGTTTTAAAAATTGCCTTAGCTGTATAGCTGTGATAATAAAAAGAAGATGTTCCAGTTTTGACAGGAAGGTAAAGTATTTTCAGGAGAAAGAGCGAGCTTTTTTATGTGTGAAAACTTGGCAATCAGCTTTGTAGAACTGTAGTTTACCTAAATGTGTGGTGGAAAATACGCCTTATTGGTGAGTCTTTGAGCAAATGTACTTTTTCCCCCGTGCTTCTTATAGTGAGTATAATATAGGGATAGTAGTATATTTTCTCATGACTTGATGAAAAATAATTTTGTACCTTGTTTTCCTAACTGTATAAAATCAGGATTGCATAAAAGAACTGATTTTGTCTGTTGGATTAATCATTGGGAAATAATAAGTGACTTAAGTGCTGTTTGTTGTTTAATGTTCCTGTTATGAGCTCCTTTAGGACATGCTTTATAGTGCAGTACTTGGATGTGGTAGGTGCACAGTGAGTTCTACTATGAATTTATGTTAGAATTCGCAGTTGAGTAGAGACATTTCTAAAGCCCCAAAGTTGAAATATCATATGAACTTTTAGTAGCTGTTCATTTTAATTTGAGATTTTATGTGTGCTTTAGGAAATCGCCCTTACATTTTCCTATCTGCTCGGGTACATCCTGGAGAAACTAATGCAAGTTGGGTTATGAAAGGAACATTGGAGTATCTCATGAGTAATAACCCTACTGCTCAAAGCTTACGAGAGTCCTATATTTTTAAAATTGTCCCTATGCTCAATCCAGATGGTGTCATCAATGGAAAGTAAGTTAAGCAATAGTTGTAGAAATTCTGTTGGTTTGTTGTGTCTGTCTTGTATAAAATTGTTGAAGTGATAGTATCCAGATTAATTTGGGAATCAAATTAGTGATTTTTCTGTAATAAATTTATCATCTAAGATAAACTTTTCTAAATATATATATTACTAGTAGCATGGTAAATCAATAAATTTTGTATCCATGAGCATGGGATTTTATAAAGCATCTGTGTCTTAAATATTTTAGAAAAAGCACAGTGTCAGAATATGAGAAAGACTTCTAACACATACTTAAACATTTTTTGTTGTTGTTAATGGTACAATCACAGCGTTTTCTGAGATAGGAAAACTTCTAGAATCTTTCCACTGTTACTGAAGGTTAGTCCCATCTGCTGATGGCTTTTTCATACATGGAAGTGTAGTTTCTGACAGGAGGAATTCTACAGTTCAGAAATACTGGAATATAATTACTTTTTAAGTGGTGGTGACTTATAATTTATTCTGGCTGTTGGACAAGGTCTCTGGTGCTCCTGGATTTGATTTACTTTAGCTGCCATGAGCATTTCCAAAGAGAACAATACCACATCTTGTTTATTCAATAGAAGTAACATGAATGTTGCTCATTTTTTAGTGAATTACTGAATTTTTTAAAAAAGGAAGTATCTTTTTAGTTAATATGTATGTTACAGTTATGGAACTAATTTTATGTCTGTTTTTAATACAGAAACATATAAACCAGTCAGAATTCTATTTATATTTCTGTTTCTACCTGATGGTTTGCTTAAGTTTTTGCTTGGTGGCTTTAATATTTAATACCTGGAGATAAGTAAAATGTATTTGAATTTTTACAATAATGTGAATCCTGTTTATCTCATTATTCTTCTCAGAAAGAGGGCTCAGCACTCTTAGAAAACAACTAATGCAGTCAATATAAAGAATGTCGGCATAGCCAATGATTACGATGTAATCAGAATGGAAGATGTGACCATTAATCCATTTCATAAATGGAACAAAACCCCAGAATTGAGACCTTTTTATGTAGTTGGAAAACCTTGATTATAAACCACAGCTTAATGCATGCGACACAAGATCTTGCACGCAGCAAATAGTGGAGTAGCTGTGTACCTGATGAATATAGCATGTATTGGGTAGAGCCCACCACCTACACCTATTGGAAATAGTTAGTGGAATAAAATCATGAAGGGGTCAGAAGTATGTAGAAGATGTACTGTTAGCAGTGTTTTCCATCTCTGTGTTTCTGTGTGTGTAGTCACCGCTGTTCTTTAAGTGGAGAGGATTTAAACCGACAGTGGCAGAGTCCAAACCCAGATTTGCACCCGACAATCTACCACGCTAAAGGGCTGCTGCAGTACCTGGCTGCTGTGAAGCGTTTACCCCTGGTAGGTGGCAGTGTTTGTTCTTACTTAGTCTAATCCATGTTGTTTTTGTTGATCAGTAACTCAGTATTTTGTACGTATTTTCTGTTTAAATGATGTCAAAAGCAATTTACTTAAGATGTCTGTTTATTATCAATTTCTCGTGTAGTCACTTTGGTTTCAGATTAATATACTGTGTTTGTATTACGTTGTCAGGTTGCTTTTCTTTTTGGTCTATGAATGTTGATAATCCCTGGTTATGAATTTTGGGGGTTTAACTTCACTGTCGAACAGTACTAAGGCAATGGTGTATGTCTTCTAAATTCTCACTAGTGCAAACTTAGGAGTATTTCTGGATTCTTTTGTCAGCTCAGATACTGATGTCTCCAGTTCATACATGGGAAATGTGGTACAGGTGTGTTGTGAGACTGTCCTGAACTCTGTAAACAAACACACACACACACACACACGTATGTTCCTTGTGTTTTCAGCAGCCTTTCATTAGAATATTCTTTTATCAGTGTTTAAATTACTTCATCTTTCTTTGGGGAAGGTGGAAAAACTTTGCAGAATGGTAAAATTGACATGTGAGTCTGTCCTTTATTCTTCATTTTAAAAATGATGCTCTTAAAAATTGCATTGACACCATACCTCTTTTATGATACTTTTCATGAGAACATTTTTATATTCTTTTAAATTAATAAATGTTTTAGTAGTCTTGAGGCAGTGTTGCCTAGCTGTAGATTTGATTATTTTTTGAGTGATGGAAAGTAGATACAAAAGGTAGAGTGGGACTTGCTGCTTGATGTAGGATCTTCAAAGCATTTAGCAATTCTAGAATTAATTATAAATCCTTTCCAAAACTAGATGTCATTACTTTTATTGGTTCTACTTGTTAAGTAGTGGTTATGTTACAATAAAACGACGAAGGGACACAGACTTGTTCATTGGCGTGATATTACTTACCTTTCCTTAGCAGTATATGAATTTGAAACCTTGTTATTTTAAAAATCTGTTATTTTTTCAAGGTTTATTGTGATTATCATGGCCATTCCCGAAAGAAGAATGTGTTTATGTATGGCTGCAGCATCAAAGAGACAGTGTGGCACACCAACGAAAATGCCTCTTCATGTGATGTTGTGGAAGACATGGGATACAGGGTAATTATTACAGATGACTCAGGAGTTTTCCAGTTTCAAGCGTGTAAAACTACAGAAAGTGACTTAACATTCATGAACTACTCAGATTCGTTGATGTTGACACTTTGCCATTTATGTTTTAGATTTTTTTATTTTGAGGTTTTGCGATTTGTAGTTAGATTTTTCATCTATTTGGAATTTATTTTTGTGTGAAATGTGAGGGTGTAATTCTATTTTTCCCCTGGCTATCAGTTGTAGCCATACCATTTTCCCTAGAGTCTCTCCTGTGTTGATCTGCTGCAGCCATATGTTCCAGGCTCTCTGTACCTGCGGTCAGTCTTGGTTCTGTTTCTTTGGATACCATATCATTTTAGTGTTAAGTTAGTACCGATACCTGGTAGGGCGAATTTCTCTTTCTTGTTCTTTTAAAAAAATTACCGTGACTCTTTTATGCCTGTTATTCTTCTTTGTGAATTTTATGCCTGTCTGTGTAATTTAGTCTTTTATATTCTTCAGCAAAGATAGAAAATTTCTGCAGCCAGGTCTGCTGTCTTCATTAGTCTTATTCCCAAATACTGTGCACGTTTTGCTCTCCTTGGAATCCTATCCACCTGCCCCCAGTTAAAACATCAGTGGAGCAAGCCTTCACAATTCTCAGATTTCCAACCTAAAAATTTCATACTCCATCCTGTGCATCCGTGTGAAAGTAAAAATGATGTCCTCAGACCTTGAAAATCTTAATAATTTACATCACAAATAGCCTTTTCCTGGAGTTACTGGAAGATAGTCTCACAAAAATAAAGGAGTATTCTGAAAACGAGGAAAGTGTGAGGAAACTAAATTGAAGAGAGAGGCCCAGGTCAGGGGTGAGAGGCAGCAGAAGAGAGTGGAATGCCAGCGTGTGGGCACAGCAGCCATGCCGCTGCCCTGCCTGCCGTCCGCGGCTCTGGAGCCCTGTGGTGTGAGGCCACGTTAAGTGAAGGAGACAGTAGGTTAGCAGAGCCCAGGACTAGTCACCAGTGAGGCGCGGAGGATGGCAGAGGGCGCACTTTCCCATGTGTTGGCCTCTAGGACACCACTGCCATCACCATCCATCCTGCTTCTCTGTCAGCTTTCCCTCTGGGAGTTCCTACTTAGCCTCCAGAAATGAGCTTGCGGCACAGTCACGAGAGAGCAAATGTGTTTACCTTTGGTGTCCATTTTTCTTCATTTCTTTAATATTATCTTACATTTCAGGGTTGTTAAGGGGAATCTGTGTGTGTGTGTGTGTATGTGAGAGAGAGACAGAGACAGAGACAGAAAGACAGGGGCGGGGAGGGGGAATAGTAGAGGGAGCATTTCCACAGAGTACCACAAGTATGGGAGCTTCAGCAATGTATTATGAACGTGCGGTTCTTTGGATCAGAAGTGTAAGCTAAAATCAAGGTGTGAGCAGGACTGCATAGTCTTTGGAGGCCCTAGGGGAGAACCATTTCTGTTTTTCCTCCTCCACGTGGAGAGGCTGCCTGTGTTCTTTGTGTCATGGAATCAAATGACCTCTAACCTCTGCTTCCATTGTAATCAGCTTCTCTCCACTTCCGCTTACAGGGTCCATCGAGACCCTGCTCCTGCTCAGAGTCTCTGAGGCCCATGCCGTGTTAGCCAACAAATTCCCTGGTTTTGGGATTAAGACGTGAACATCTTTGATGGGCCTCTGTTTTTCACTCAGTGCCATGACCTGCCCCCCACCCCAGATAATTTGATAGGTTAATACTCAAAAATGCGGGGATTCTGATGATAAATCTTAGGACTCTTGTGTCCTGTTAGTGTATGTGTTTAGTGAAGAAAAATACAAAAAGTTACAGCATATAAATCAAGGGACATTTGATAGAAAAGCTGGTAATTTTCAGGATTGTTTAAGATCATGAAAGCTGTGGCAAGACTAGCGACCGCAGGAGGACTGGTAACGAAATGCAGTATGAGATTCCGGATGGGATCTGGAAACAGAAACAAGATATCAGAAAAACTGATGACACTGAAAACAGATCTGTGGTTTTACTAAGAGTATTAAATCAGGATTAATTTTTTGTCCTGATGCTGTTCTGTGGTTGTTAACATTAAGAGTAGCTGAGGGAGAGAGGTGGCATTTTTTTGTACTAGTTTTGCACTTTTTCCCTGTTTAAATAAGTTCAAAATAAGTTATAAAAGTATTGTTACTATTCTTACACTGTGATAATCATCTTATTGGGAGAAAACTTGTGATTTAGGCTTAATGAAATATTAGCTTCTAAGGCACCTAATATCGCTAAATATTATAGATATGAGGGATGTCCAAAAAGTTTATGGAAAACACATACTGTGACAAAACTGCATGGATATCAATTATTCATTTTGCAACAAAATGAAGTTACTTTCTCATCTGTTTTCCCATGAAGTGTTTGAACTATGCTTGTAGTAGACCCCTAATCCTAAATAAGACTATCATTGCTGTTGGACAGACGAGTGAACAGAACTTCTGTGTGCCTTGACACACTTGCTTGGCTAAAACGTTGTGTGGATCACACTGGGATGAGATGTTACTGCTTCAAGTTCTAAACTTCTACGTTCTGTCACAGTATTATGCCAAAACAAGCACCCCAGGTTGTTTTCCTAAAAAAGGTTTTGGTAGCAAACCAGTGCTCCTAACAGAATTTTAAAGCACATTTTCTTTTTGGTCTCCTGTCTCTTTTTCTCCCTTCCCAAGTAAATAAAATGTTTAGAGTTGTCTAAAACAGAACATTCCAGAAGCACATAAAGTAGGAAGTGAAAGTCATCTCCCACTCTCTCTCAATACTAATGAGTCAGTTTTATCAGTGTGCTCAGTGAAGCTTCTTGCCTCTTGCTAGTTCTATCTCAGTCTTTCAATAATTATCCAAGATTTCTATGGTGCATTTTCATTATTCTTATACAGGTGTTCCACAATGTATTTGTTCAGTAGTCCACTGTTGGTGGTAATTTGATTCATATTGCCAAACTGTTCGTCATAAAGGTTGTATAACTGGGGGCCAGCATTGTGGCATAGCAGGTTAAGCCTCTGCCTACGATGCCAGCATCCTATATGGGTGCCAGTTCAGGACCCAGCTGCTCTACTTCAGATCCAGCTCCCTGCCAGTGAGCCTGAGAAGGCAGCGGGAACCCCTGCCATCCACATGGGAGACCTGGAAGAGGCTCCAGGCTCCTAGTTTCGGCCAGGCTCAACCTTGGTTGTTGCAGCAATTTGGGGAGTGAACCAGTGGATAGAAGATCTCTCTTTTGCTGCCTCTCCTCCTTTCTCTGCCAGTCTGCCACTCTGTTTTTTTTTTTTTTTAAAAAAAAAAGATTGTAGAACTGAGTCTCAGAGATACCATGAAAGATAGTGCTGTTTCTCCATGTCTGTAATTATAAATGAGGCTGAGCATCTTTTCCTATGTTTGGCCAATTATGATCTCCCTCTTTTCAAATAGCGTTTTCTCATATTCTCTGGTTGCTTTTTTTTTTCTTAAGATTTTTTAATTTATTTTCTTGAGAGGCAGAGTTACAAAGAGAGAGGGGGAGACAGAGAGAGAGAGGTCTTCCATCTGCTGGTTCACTCCCCAAATGGCCGCAATGGCAAAGCTGGGCTGATCTGAAGCCAGGAGACAGGAGCTTCTTCCATGTCTCTCACGAGGGTGCAGGGGCCCAGGGACTTGGCCATCTTCCACTGATTTCTCAGGCCATAGCAGAGAGCTGGATCAAGAGAGAAACAGCTGGGACTCGAACTGGCTGCCAGTATCGGATGCCAACACTACAGGTGGCAGCTTAGCCCACTGTGCCACAGCGCCCGCCCCTCTGGTTGCTTTTATACTAATTATCTAGTTGTTACTTTTAAAATAAGAACTCTTTTGCATATTACAAATATGTTTCCTAGTTTTTTATTATTGTATGTAGTAATTTAGAACTTTTATGGTATTTGTTGATTTTTTTAACATAGCATTTGTGTTCCAAATTTTTCAAAGTACAGTTTCATGTTTATTATTTTTATTTTCAGTTGAAAAGTTTACTTACTAAGTTTAAATTCTGAGTCCAGATAGAATTTAACTGAATGAAGAGTGACTTCAGATGTTTTTCTCAGTGAACACTGAGTTGTGCACATTTAAGCAATGACATATCTTTCCTTCACTAATGATTACTGTAATAGCTTTATTTCTATTTCCAGATTCTCTCTTTTCCGGAGATCTGTGTGTTCCTACAATATTGTCACAGTGTAACTTATTTTAGATTTGTGATCCAGGTTTCTATCTCTATTGGACTATTTCTCCAGGCATTGCTTTTCTTTCCTAAGGATTTTCTAGGATGTATACCTTTATTTACACATCCAGGTGAACTTGAGAATAATCTCTTAATGTTTGTTTATTTATTTTTTTGCATCTACTTGAAAGGCAGAGAGAGAGAGAGAGACCGACCGACCCAGACCTTCCATTCACTGGTTTACTCTCCCAGTACCCATAGCAGTCAGCATTGTGCCAGGCCCTGAAGTTAGGAGCCCAAAACTCCATCTGGGTTTCCTGCATGGGTGGCAGGGACCCAAACCCTTGAGCCATCACCCACTGCATACCTGGTTGCTGCACATCAGCAGAAAGCTGAATCAGAAGTGGAGTAGCTGGGACTTGAACCAGCACTCAGATATGGGAAGTAGGCTTACTAAGTGGTAGCTTAACCTGCACTACACCTGTCCCAGGAATAATTTCAAGTTGCAAGAATTTGGGTACACTTCAATTGTGATTTTTCTTAGCTTTATTGATTAATTTAGGAGTGACTGACATTTACAGTGTTAAATCTTTCATGATTAAATTTCCACATTTTAGACAATTCGTATTTTCGACTAATATATAAAAAGTATAAACACTTAGGGAGTAGCATGTGATGTTTTTGGAAACGTGTAGACATTATGCAAGGTCCACTTCAGGGTAAACGTAATTATCTCAGACATTCATCATTTCTTTCTGGTGAAAACATCAAAATCCTCTCCTCTAGTTTATTTAAAAAATCATACACACAGTCCTGTAGTTATCCATAGTCATCTTACGTACCATAGGAACTTCTGTCTCCTGACCATCACTTAGTGCCATCAGCAGGGCTTGCATGGTTTTAGTCTACGTATTGATTGATGCTATAAATGTGATCCTGTCTCCCATTGTATGTTTTAACTGATTTCTATCTGTTTAGCAATGCAGAGCATTCTAAATTTACAAGAGGATCGTTTTGATATTTGATTAGCAGAGGATATGTCAGCAAGGAGATTCACTATAAACACTATGGTTTCATGAAAAAAATTAAACATTTTTAATGAAGAAGAACTCTTGCTTTATTATCTTTCCTGTTTTACAGACTTTACCTAAGATACTGAGCCATATTGCCCCAGCATTTTGCATGAGCAGTTGTAGCTTCGTAGTGGAGAAATCTAAAGAATCCACGGCACGAGTTGTGGTTTGGAGAGAAATAGGAGTGCAAAGAAGCTACACCATGGAGAGTACTTTGTGTGGCTGTGACCAGGGAAAGTACAAGGTAAAACACTCTAAGGCTCTCAGTCATTAAAAACATTTGAGGACTTTGCTTTCCTATGTACTTCTGGGGGCGTTCAAGTATGTATGAAATAATGCAATTGTTTTGTTGAGTTATATGTAATTTATGATAATGGAATTGAATTATATGCAATCTTCAGAACAGGTTTTTCTGTTCTACCTCTTTGAACTCATGAGCTTGCTTGGAATGCTTAAGTTTTTGTTATTTGCATCTATTTACATTCGTAAGTTTTAAGAAAATGCACTGGAGTAATATTCAAATACCGATAAGTAATTTATAATGAATGAGACATTGTTAATAAAAATATTTTAATATGTTGGGTATAAATTTATTTTTATGTATTTAAAATTAAACATTTGTATTTCATAAAGCAACTAGTTATATTTATATTTTGTGTCTTTAATATTTCTATTTAGTTGAAGAAGTTACAGAGAGGGAGCGATAGAGCAAGATCTTTCTTTCTTTCTCCCTTTCTCCCTTTCTCCCTTTCTCCCTTTCTCCCTTTCTTCCTTTCTTTCTTTCTTTCTTTCTTTCTGTTTTAATTTGACAGAGTTATAGATAGTGAGAGAGAGAGAGACAGAGAGAAAGGTCTTCCTTCCATTGGTTCTTCTTCAGTGAAGAGATTTGCATTTCAAAGACACACACAATGGGTTAAGCCACTGCCTGCAAAGCTGGCATCCCATGTGGGCATCCTTTCCTGTCCTGGCTGCTCCACTTCCACAGTAGAAGATGGCCCAAGTGCTTGGGTACTTGCTACCCACATCAAGATCAGGATCAAGCTCCTGGGTTCAGTCTGGCTTGGCCCTGGCCATTATGGCCATCTGGGGAGTGAACCAGTGGATAGAAGATCTTGCTCTGGGGCCTGCGCTGTGGCTCACTTGGTTAATCCTCTGCCTGTGGTGCCGACATCCCATATTTGTGCCACATTCTAGCCTCGGTTGCTCCTCTTCCAGTCCAGCTCTCTGCTGTGGCCCGGGAGGGCAGTGGAGGATGGCCCAAGTGTTTGAGCCCTGTACCCGCATGGGAGACCAGGAGGAAGCACCTAGCTCCTGGCTTTGGATGGGCGCAGCTTCAACCATTGCGGCCATCTGAGGAGTGAACCAGCAGATGGTAGACTCTCTCTCTCTCTCTCTCTCTGCCTCTCTGTAACTCTTTCAAAATAAAAACAAAACACTGTGTTTGTGTTTTGATAAATTTGGGCATGAAATATCCAAATTTTTAAAGGAAGCTAAAATCTATTTTGAAATATACACTGTTAAACCAGTTTTCTGAAGTTGTTGTTTATAACTGATAAATATATAAACCTTTAAAAATAAAACAAATATGTAACAAATACTCATTTCTCTTTTATATGATTCACTTAATAGAGTGTACATTCATTCAAAACTAATGGAGAGAAGTGTGTCTTACCAAGTCAGGATTTTTGTGTGTGTAATAGCTTTCCTGTTTAGGGCAAAATTGACTGGGAAGTACCGAATTCCCATATGCTTTGTCCCCACACATGCTTCTCATGCATAACAAGTTTTAAACTTGTTTGCTGATTTGTTTTAGTAATCTAATAATGTTTTAGGAAGCAGTCTCCTTCGGCCTCAGCAATATTTTTATGTACTGAGTTTTGGCTGTGAATATTCTTTATTTTTATTTTCTATGAACTAATTCAGAAACAGGCCTGGCCTTTTTAAAACTTTTGAGTTGAGGAGCAAACACACGTTCTGATAAAGCCACTGAGTCATATTTTCTGGGCTATGTGGGAGCTGGCTCGACTGTTTAGTTAAGCCATTGTAAAGGCACATACATCATGTACAGTAAGTAGTGGCTTCCACGGTTCATTTTCCTCAGGCGCCATGAGCCGTAGGAGCTCTGTAGCCCAGGCACTGAGGAGCTGTTCTACGATGCCCCTCTCTCGGGCTCTGCTCTCATCTAAATCCGCAACTTTGGTTGGTGCAAGAATCCCACTTAGATTAGAGATTGGTTTTTATATCTGAAGAATAAGCAATAAGCAGTATCTTAGTTTATAGTCTTATTTTCTGTGGTAACATTTAACTTTTGGTAAACTTTGTGTTGCTTATTTAGAAACTAGTGGTAAGAAGAGGGGAGAAGTTGAGATAAAGTCTTCTTTGGTAGAGAGAATTTGGAGTGGACATTAATTGACATGGATCATAGATATTTAACATTATTAATGCCTCATTGACATAGATTTGTTTCTTTTTTTGACAGTTACCTTTCTGTTGGTTTTTTACTGACCAATTTCTTTTATCACACAGTAAAAGTCCTGTAATATATATTGAAGGATTCATATTGGAGCCTTCATTTTAACACTGTAGTAGCTCAACACTGGCATCTGAAGTAGCAGATCAGAAGAAATACCATCAAGATCTTGTTAAGCATAGTTGAGCATATTGACTCCAAGAGTAACAGCGACCACAGATTATTCATCTACCTTTTTTTTCCTCCCCAGTGCATTGATGATAACAGTTTGCACCACACTGAATGTCAGTAGACATTCTAGCAATGTCCTATAGGAAAGATAGTTCCTTTGTGACCCAGAATGGTTACATGTTACAGACATTATCCTTGTCAAGTTCTGGTTCAGGTTTTTAATTTTATTAATATAGTTTAAATTACTTTACTGGAATTTTAATGCAGTGTAGCAGAGAATAGCAAACTTTGGAATAGTGAGATGGCATTGGCACATGCCACCTTGATGGGATTGAATTGGAATCCCCTGGTATGTTTCCAACTCTACCAATTGGGGCAAGTCAGCCCGAACATGCCCCAAATTATACATCTCTTCCCTCTCTTATTCCCACTTTTATGTTTAACAGGGATCACATTTCAGTTAATTTTCAACACTTAAGAATAACTGTGTGATAATTACAGAATTAAACCAGTCATATTAAGTAGAACAGACAAAAAAAAAAATACTATGAGGGATAATGTATTAAGTTGTCCATTAGCAGTCAGGGCTATGCTGATCAAGTCACCATTTCTCATAATGTCCATTTCACTTCAGGAGGTTTCCTTTTTGGTGTTCAGTCAGTTGTCACCGATCAGGGAGAACATATGGTATTTGTCCCTTTGGGACTGGCTTACTTCACTCAGCATGATGTGTTCCAGATTCCTCCATTTTGTTGCAAGTGATCAATTTCAGTTCACAATTGATCATAATGAAAGGACTAAGAGTCAAAGGGAGCACATAAACAAGTCTAGTATCTGCTAACACTAACCGATAGAATAAATAAAGGGGAGAGTGATCCAACATGGGAAGTGAGATACTCAGCAGACTCATAGAATGGCGGATGTCCTAAATAGCACTCTGGCCTCAGAATCAGCCCTAAAGGCACTCGGATCTGGCTGAAAAGCCCATGAGAGTATTTCAGGCATGGAAAGCCAAGGCACTCTGGCAAAAAGATCTCTGTGAGTGAGATCCCAGTGGAAAGAACAGGTCTTCAAAGAGGGAGGTGCCTTTCTCTGAAGGGAGGAGAGAACCTCCACTTTGACTATGACCTTGTCTAAACAAGATAAGAGTCGGAGAACTCAAGGGGCTTCCATAGCCTTGGAAACTCATGACTGGTGCATAGGGAGATTATTGATGCCATAAACAGGAGTGTCGATTTGTAAAGTCAACAACAGGAGTCACTGTGCACTTACTCCTCATGTAGGATCTCTGTCCTTAATGTGCTGTACACTGAGGCTTAATGCTATAACGAGTACTCAAACAGTATATTTCACTTTGTGTTTCTATGGGGGTGCAAACGATTGAAATCTTTACTTAATGTACACTAAACTGATCTTCTATAAAAAAAAAATTATCAATTCCCAACTTGACTCTCACTGGGATTAAACATGACAATAGGTCTGATCTGATTTCATCATCATTTAAAAAAAAATCATCTATTATTTTTCACTTTATGTTTCTGTGTGGGAACAAACTGTTGAAATCCTTACTTAAGGTATACTAAGCTGATCTTCTGTATATTAAGATAATCGAAAATGCATCTTAATGTGAATGGAAAGGGGAGAGGGAGTGGGAAAGGGGAGGGTTGTGGGTGGGAGGGACGGTATGGGGGGGAAAGCCATTGTAACCCATGAGTCGTACTTTGGAAATTTATATTCATTAAATAAAAGATAAAAAAAAAATAGCAAACTTTGTTTTTAAAAGTCGTTTAAGGATTTATTTTATTTATTTGAAAGGCAGAGTTATTGGGTAGGGGAAGGGAGGGAGAGAGAGCTAGCGAGCGAGCTTCTGTCTGCTGCTTCACTCTTCAAACACCCACAACTGCCTGGATGGACCAGCCTGAAACCAGGAGCCTGGAACTCCAACTGTGTCTCCCACGTGGTGGTGGGGCCCCTGGTACATAGGCCATCTTCTGCTTTTCCTGGGCTCAATAGCAGTAAACTAGATCAAATGTGGAGGAGCCAGAACACAAACCAGTGTCCATAGGGATGCTGGCTACTGGCGTCAGGTGGCAGCTTACCCTGCTGCACCACAACACCAGCCCTCAGTCCAGTTGTAGCTCATGAATAGAAGGACCTAGATACTTGAACCATCACCTCCAAAGGGTGCACATTATCAGGAAGCCAGAGTGGAGCTGGGCTGAAACCCAGGCCCTCCGATATGGGATGCAGGCATCCCGAGCAGTGTCTCTGCTGCCACACCGAACACCTGCCCCCCAGACTTTCTAAATACATATGTAATATTTCTTTGTTTCTAGGGTCTGCAGATTGGTACTCGAGAACTGGAAGAGATGGGAGCAAAATTTTGTGTTGGTTTGTTGCGTTTGAAAAGATTGACATCCCCATTGGAATACAATCTACCTTCCAGCCTGCTCGACTTTGAAAATGACTTAATTGAATCAAGCTGCAAAGTAACTAGGTAGGACACACCTATCTTTTATTATATTGTAGTGTACTTTTAGGCTTTGTTTAATAGCTACGTTTTTTAAAGGCATAGAGAGTTTGACTGCCACAAGTATGCTTAGAATTGATAATAATTAATTTTGTTCATCCAATCTTTGTTCCAAATTGTGATCATATTCCTGATTCTCTTCATGTTGATATTTGGATGAGATTTTAATGGATATACTTTGCAGCTGTTGGTAGTGATCTTGCAAGCCTACTTTTAACTCAGAAAGAAACAATGTGCGAAATATTGCACCTGGTAATCTATAAAGAATGGGCTTAGAGTGAGGATTCATACATCAAGAACCTTTATTTTGTTGATGTGTACACACATTGGATGTCTATCCAGTAACTTTCTGGTTCTACATATTAGAAACAGCTAAATTTAGCCTCCCTTTGGAGGCCTGTTTCTGCCTCTTCTGAATTAGCTCATGCTTTTCTTTTCAAATTCCAGCTATGGAAATTTTGCCTGGTTGTAAGCTCAACACCATAATTATCATTATAATGCCAGGGCTTAGACTCTATATTTTGGTGCATATGGATAAGAATAGTTCTATTTTAAAGAAACTTCAGTATTTTCGTTGTTAGATATGAACTTGTTTTCAACTTTGTTAGTTATTGGCATGCGTTATCATCCGTATCACTGATATACATCGCAGTTTTGAGTGTCACTGAAGCATTACTTGGAACTTCATTATTTATAAATATGCTAATTTAGACAGGTGGTCATCTGCATTCTCTGTTCTTCAGAGTGCCTGCTGAAAACAATGGAAGTGAAATTCTCACTGAATTTAGAAGCCTCCTGTTAACTTTTAATTGATGAATTCATAACCCAGAAACCACAGGCATACTACAGTTGCTTTAGATATCCTGAAATATCATTTAGACTTACCAGTACTTCACAACTGTCTATTTTTTACACCCTTGCCTAATTTTACTCTTAAAATGAACATATATGTGTTTAGAAAAGCACATATTTTAAAGAAACCACATACACAGTTATATTTGTTCTTAGCATCTGATCATTGAATTTCAGTATAGTTGGTTTCATTTGTAATTGCATTTATTTAGTTTTATGTATTTAAAAGTACTGCCATGAGGAGTTCATAAGCCTCATCAGACTCTCCAAGGCAACTGTGGCACAGAACGGGTTAACAGTCTCTCCTTCTCATCAGTGTATGCCTGTAAACTTATATGCCTACTAGAGCCAATTAGAAATTGAAAGAAGTTTGCCCCTGAAATGTTACTCTGCCCTTTTTTCCTGTTTCCTGACTTCTCTCTCCATGCTGCCATTCTTGTTTATGAAATCTCAAGTGAATTTTCGTAGATCGCTGATCTTGATGCTTTTGAAGATCATAAATCCTTCGTCTGAGTCTGCCTGCCTTTCCTTGGGGTTATATTCAAGTTCTGCAGCCCTGGCAAGAGTGTGGATGCTGTGTTCTTTCCCTTGTATCTGTGCTGTTGTACACACAGATTTGATGTGGTCCTCTACTCAGAACGTTCTCTTGACCACACTTTACCAAGGGGGTGTCTGTCAACCTTACTCTTCTCCCTGTTCATAACTAACAAGTGTTTTTATGGGTATATGTCAATATTCTATTTCTTCTTCTTTGTGTTTTAAGATTTTATTTATTTATTTGAGAGGTAGAGTTACAGAGAGAGAGAGAAAGGTCTTTCATCTGCTGGTTCACTCCCCAAATGGCTTCAATGATCGTAGCTGGGCCATTCTGAAACCAGGAGTCAGGAGCTTCTTCCGGGTCTTCAATGCAGGTGCAGGGGCCCAGGGACTTGGGGCCATCTTCTACTGCTATCCCAGGCCATAGCAGAGAGCTGGATTGGAAGAGGAGCAGTCATGACTCAAACCAGTGTCCATATGGGATGCTGACACCTCAGGTGGAGGCTTAGCCCACTATGCCACAGCACCAGTCCCAATATTCTATCTTTTAGGAAACTTTAAATTCATTTTAAAATTTATATGTGTTGACTTATGGCTCAACAGTTGTAATTCAATGAGTTTTTATTATTATTTATGTTGAAACTCACAGTTGCCTGGATTTGGCCTCTTTGAACAACTTCCCTGCATTTTGGACATATTCCCGTCATGCTCTGAGGACTTCCTTCCTTTCTGGCACACAGGCTTTCCAGGCACGTGTTTGCATTTAGTTTAATCCCAGCGTTGGGATCAGCCGTTTCTTTAGGGTTCCTTGGTTGCTTTTGGTGTAACACAGTAAGTCTAGATATTGGTTGTATTGATGCTTTTGTGGTGTCACTGCTCTCAAGTTCTCTCAGTAGACAGAGATATCTAGAATATATTTACATATTTACCGGCGTAACGTAGACATAATCTGAAAATCTTGAGTTCCCAGTGAAACCTTTCATTCCAATCCTATAACTAGGGGTTCAGGCTATTTTTTGAATTTCTGACTCCTTTGTTTAACAGGAAGAAACCTGGCTCCCATGATCTTTAGTATTTTTACTTATTGGTCAGCCCACCTGTGTACCACAGTCTCCCATCTCCACGGCCCTCTCTTGGGTATCTTCCTCACCCCGCTCAGGCTCCACCTCTCCAAAGCGAGGAGCTTTTTAAAGGCAGTCTTGGTCATTCAGAGCCTGCCGTGCGGTGTCTGCTGGCTGGCTGGCCGTGTCCTCTTCCTGAGTCCTTATTTCTGGTGTTACTGCAGACCTGCTGCAGGCAGAGTGTTGTCCAAGGCTCTGGGAGAACAGAAGAAACAGGAAGCAGGGGCGAGTGCTCGGTGTGCCAAGGGAGCTAATGTGATGGAAGCCGCCCAGCTCAGCCGCGTGCAGGGGCACAGCGGGGCCCACGAAGGGGAATAGCGAAACATCACTGACAGCGAAGAGTTACTGCAGTACTTTAAAATGGCCTCGGTGTGTCTGAAAGTTTCCCTGAGTTTTAGGCTACGACTTCAAAAGTACTAGATAAAGGTTGGCAAAGAAACAGCAGCTGAATATAGAGTAAACAAAATTAGCCATGGGAAATAGACTAATTGAGGTAAGAAAGAAAGGCTTATTGGGCGATTACAAAAGCTAAGGTGGAAGAATCAAGGGAGCCAGTATTCAGATCTAGGCTCAAGAAGAAATAGTAAATGGGTGTGTGTGTGTGTGTGTGTGTGTGTGTGTGTGTGTATGTTTACTAAGATTTGTTTTTTATTTGAGAGGCAAAGTTACAGAGAGTTATGGAGAGTTAAGAGATCTTCCATCCACTGGTTCATTCCCAGATGGCCACAGTGGTTGGGTCTGGGCCAGGCAGAAACCAGGAGCTTGAAACTTAAGTCTCCCGTGTGAGTGCAGGGGCCCAAGCACTTGGGCCATCTTCTGCTGCTTTCCCAGGCCATAGCAGAGAGCTGGATGGGAAGAGGAGCAGCCTGCACTAGAACCGACGCCCAGATGGGATGCTGGCACTGCAGGCGAGGGCGTTAACCCGCTGCGCCACTGCGCCAGGTGGGCCATGTTCTGCTGCCTTCTCAGGCTCATTACAGGGAGCTGACTCAGAAGTGGAGCAGCCAGGACTCAGATCAATGCTCCTGTGAGATGCTGGCATTTCGGGCAGAGAGAGGGTTAGCCCAGTGTGCCACAAGGCTGTGTTCCCTTCCCACTTTTTTGAAGCTTTTATTTGAAAGGCAGAGAGAGAACAAGAGTGAGAAAGTGAGAAAGTGTCTATGTTGTTAAGCATGGAATGATAATCTGATGCATCCTCGTGTAAAATGTGTAAGTTCAGCATGTTAGGAATGGACGTAAGCCGCAGGCGATGTGGCGCTTTGAGGGGAGTGGTGACTGCAGAGCCAGTGGTTCCAGTGTAATGTGGTACACTGCTAGAGCCTTCGATGCACATTTGTTGTTGAACCAGTTTCCATGTAATACAGATGGAGCAAAGAAGTGCTGAGTGCGGGCTGAAGGCAACCCCAGCCAGCTTCAGAATTTCAGACAGGATCATTGGCATGTACTGTTGACTCTAAGTCTGACTTCTTTGAAAACGTGTTTATTTTTGTTTTGTTGAGAGGCAGAGAGAAGGAGTCACAGATAGATCTCCCATGTACTGGTCCACTCCCCAGATGCCCTGAACAGCCAGGGCTGGAGCACAGAATGCAGTCTGGGTGTCCTCCGTGGATGTCAGGGACCCCACTGCTACCTCCCAGGCACACCTTCCACAAAGCTGAAATCAAAAGCAGAGGCAGGACTGGAACCCATTCACTCTGATATGGCATGTGGGTGCCCCAAGCAGTGTTTTAACCAAGCCAGACTTCCACCCTCTGCCCCACCCCTATTTTAGCAAAGCTTTTCTCAGTTACTACCATTTATGATTTCAATAATTTTATAGCAGTTGCTTATTCATTCAACTATCCTTTTCTTCTCAGAAACCTTTCAGGAATAATTGTAGATTCTTGTCATTATTTACTTTATTGGTAAAGTGGGTGGAGGGTTGTATGTATCTTAACCTCTCTTCTCCTAGCTTTTTGTATTCGTCATTTAGTGGTCACTAATACCAGTTACCTTGGAAATGAAAGCCCTAGGGAATGTAATACAGATCACTTGAGTATGTTTGTTGAGGAGGAAAAAAGGAGGGAGCAGGTGGGAGGTGACCATAAATATTCTCTGAGCTTTTCTGCTGCATCTTCTTCCCTTTTCTCTTCTGTGGGTGACATTCGTTCTCAGGGCTTTAAATTCTCTGTCTCTGAGCTCTGGACCTGCATGTCCAGCTTCCAACCTGACGACACACACTCGCACACTGGGTTAACCTGTCTACAACCCAGCTTGAGACTTCGGCCCCCCGACCTGTCCCAAAGCAAATCAGCATTCTCCGTCCACCTAGGTGCTCACGTCTTGGCGTCTCTCACTCCCTGCCTTGCCCTCAATTAATCACCCGGCGCTCTCGGGTTGCTCCCTGAAACGTCTTGCTGGTTTTCCACATTCTGGCCATCTCTGCCGTTAGGCCAGTTCCGGCTGCCACCGTCTCCT